AATACGTAATAAAAATTCATAATAAATCCGTAATGCACTGGCCATCTGTACCTCAGCTGATCACAAAGGATAACAAGCTATGTCACTATACGTAATAAAAAATTCGTAATTCATAATAAAAAATCGTAATACACTGGTCATCTGTATTTCCACTGGTCATAAAGAATAACAGACTATGTCCTGCTATGGGCTCGCTGCGAAGGAAAGGAAAAGAACTGGGAAAAGAACGGAAATTGAAGGGAAAGCGGGCAAAAAGGGATGGCCACGAATGTTGACAAAAAAAAAAGCGCACTCTCCGGAGAATACTCCGGATGTGCAAGTTGTTCCTGTGTTAGCTTTCGGCGCAAATCAAATAAAGCAAGTGATTTTGAAAATACTCGAAACGCTGAATGGCCCGGTAGTGAATATCCGTCCACCGGTCGCTCCGAGAAAGTGTGGGGGGTACTCTATTTGTTTGAGGGCCAATCGTACAATGCTTCGGACAGTGAGGTACCCCTGTGCAACATCATTTTTCTATTTACTTTGTCAACACATTTCACCAGTTTTGTGCACATCATCATAATATACTTGTGCGGTATGAATGCATGTGTAAAAATGTGTACGTGCTTGTATGTGTGCGTGTGTGTGTAAGCGTATGTGTATATTTGTGTTGTATGTATGCTGTATATAAATGTATATAGATATATGTGTACGAGGGTGTTTGTCTGTGCGGATGTTCTTGTGTTTGTCTGTGAGTACATGCATGTATGTTCGTATGTTTCTGTGTATGCTTATGTGTTTGTGTGTGTTTGTGCGAAAAATAGAAACAAAAAAAAAAGAACTGAGCCTATGCGAGTGGAAATTGTCCTATAAAAACCCTGTGTTTGCGGCTGCATGTGTGTGTATGTGATTGTATATGTGTACTTGTGTCCAACACAAATTTTTTCGTATACTGGTCAGTTGAATGTCGGTCCTTCGTGTTCTGGTCAACGCAATTCAGAAATATTAATGTGCAGAAAAACAAGGCACAAACTCATTCAATTTTCGATAATTTCCAGCTGCAAGGAATGAATGGTAGATATAAACTATAGCCACAGTGATGAAAATGTGTTGGCGAAATACCGGTATTATTTCTTTTCGGATTAGGATTTGAAGAAAATACCTAAATTGTGAACTATTTGTCCATAAACTAGTATTTGGCCAATCACTACGTGTTAAAAATGTTTTATTGCTAATATTTAAGTACTAAAATATAAAACAACTTTCATAAGTCCAACGAATTCGAAAACAGTCGGAGGAAGGAATTTCTCTTCGACAATGAAAAAGGAAAAATTATTTCCCTGTTTCTGACGATCAAGTTTAGTTAAAGATGAGGATTAGTAAAATGCGGTTCTTTTTCTACTGATGTTAAAAATAAAAATGTAGGATATCAAATGAGCAAAAAACAGATTAAACTGAAAAGATCGGATTTTGCTTCTGTGAGATTTTGGAAGAGAAAACGGAGGTGTAAGTGATGTACAAGTCGCATGTTCTAACACAGTCGACAGTCCAAAATCTCACTAAACCAGAATAATGGAGTGCATCAGCGCGAAGATATCGGCGCTTGAAGAAATCAAAGACAGAAGAAATACGAATGCACCGGCTTCTCGCCTTGTATTTCATAATATTCCCAAATCTTGGATTTAACAGTTCTTTTGCTGTTGCATGATCATTGTTCGTGCTTCAGTCGTCATAATCTAGCTTTACTGCCAGAAACATTGTTATGTTTTCCATCATTTAATTGAATGTCGATTAAAATTTCTTTATGGATTTATTATGCTGAGCACGAATTTGATGTTGAATGAAGTCTGGCAAGAAAAAGCTTACCAGTTCAAGCTCAGCACCTTTTTTATTGTTCGAGACAATACAATCGATCTTATTCGCCCTCAGATTCATCCAAGCCTGATCTTCATAAGTGGAGAAAAGGACCTTTGTATTTGCGACGAACAGACTACCGATGATGGTTTTCAGACGACAATTTCCACTTTCTTAGGTTCATATTTGCTTTTTTTTAATTTAATTTCCTTTGTAATGCTGTGTTGTCCCTTTCTCTTTACTGTTCCTGTCTCCAACCCTTCACAGTTTTCTCATTCCTTGTCCCTACGCTGCCTCCAAGGCAATACCAGAGCCCCCTCAAGCCTCCCAAATCTACGCTACCCAGCGCTCGAGGTGACACTCCGTATCAGCAATATCAGCTCCCGCAACTCGCGCCTCAACCGGGGCAAATCTCCTCCACCCACCACCCCAAACCTAGGTTTTTTACAGGTAACAAGCAACATCTTATACAGGTATCCAGCCTATCTAGGGTGTGTAAATGCGACCCGCTACCAGGTACAGATTAGAGCATGTTACCTGTGATCTGATGTTTTCGTGTACACTACCCAACGCTTGAGATAATACCTCCCATAACCAATAGCAGCTTTCGCAATTCGCACCCCCAACCAGCCTCTCTTCCACCCCCCATCTCCAAATCTGCGCTGCCCAACGCTCGAGGTAACACTCCGTAACAGCAGTACCAGCTCCCGCAACTCGCACCTCAACTGGGGCGAACCTCCCGTACCCGCCATATCCAAATCCACGCTACCCGACACTTCGGGTAACATTTCCCGCGACCATTTATCATTTTTCGCGAATTGCACCTCAACCGAGCCTCTCTTCCGCCCGGCACCTCCAAATCCGCACTACCCAGCACCCGGGGTAACATCTCCCATCAGCAGTGCCAGCTCCCGCAATTCGTACCTCAACTGGGGCGAATCTCCCCTACCCGTCATCCCCAAATCCACGCTACCCGGCGCTTCGGGTAACATTTCCCGCGACTATTTTTCGCAATTTGCACCTCAACCGGGGCCGAGCCGAGTCCAT